ATCTTTTGTGAGATAGTAAAATTCGTTTTCACTGTGTTTTTCATCGTCTGCAGACATTTTAATGTTTTAAAAAGTAGCCTTTAAACTCGTCTTTAAATTTTGAAAAATAAAAACATTGGCTCTACGGCTTTAAATCTCGCGCGGTCCGGGCTCATACGGACCGCTCACGTAGCCAATCAGATTGCAGAAAAGCGTAAAATATGACTTCGGACCGCAAGAAAAAAAATAAAAAAGACTATTTTGTATACGATATTCTGATGAGAATCTTTGTTCAAAACAATATCGATTGTGAGCGTGTGCCCGCGCGAATTTAGTAAGCGGAATAAACAAGAGCAATAAAAGCGCATGCGCCATTTATCTCATTTTGGATAAAAAAAATTCGATTTCCCCAGAGTCATGCCACAACCTAACCCGCGAACAGGCATACTCTGGGAGCGAGATTGCCCTTCGGGCGTTTCCACACAATTTCTCGTTTTCCCAATTTCCACTCGTGTTGATATAACTGTATATCAACACGGAAAATGTTTTATATTTGTTAAATATTATAGAAGATATTACAAAGTAAGCAACTTTAATTTACCGAAAAGATCGACTTTGCAATAATCCTAACATGTACTCAGTGACGTCACGCGCATGCTTTTACTATAGTTTGAATTTTTAAGCGAGTAAAAGAGCAAAAACAATACGGGGATATATATAAAGTTGCGGAGAAACTTTTTAATTAAAATGCTGGAAATAAAACAGTGACACAGACTAATTTGCTGATGTTTTTCATAGGGTCGGGCGGTTTATCGATAAAACCGGGAAAAAAATGATTTTTTAAAAAAAACCGATTCAATCGGATTTTTCTTTTGACAAAAAAACACGAAAAAAATCGGGAAAATACTTGAAACTTGCAGAAACAGCGCGCGAAGCGTACGTTTGTGATAAAGCGGATCACACGCGTGAAAAGAAGGCAGATTCTGGCGTATAGCGGTGGCTTACAAACAATTCGTCTTCATATTCTGTACCCTGGCTTATTTCAGATGTGTGTAAAAGCGAAAATAAGACCGAAATATTCGTAATTCGCAACCGAAATGGCCGCCATATTTTTTTACCTAGTGTTTCCACTATTTTAAGAAATTTCCTTTAAATTTTCATCAGGAAATTTTCATTAAAAACTGACATAGTTTTTTTCGGGGGTTTTCAGACGGTTTTCGGTTTTTACCCTGAACCGCCCGACCCCAGTTTTTCAGCATCTGGGATGCTAGATTTGCCACGAAAGACGTTAAATCGTATAGGTTTCGTCCTAGTGCTCAGTTTTAATTTTTGAAATTATTGTATTTTTTGTCATTATTGAGTTTTCGTTTCTAACCCAGTTAAAGTCACTACATGCAGGCGAGCGTTAGGTGACTTTGGTATCTATATCTCTGGTTCATATTTATATTGAGGATAATTCTGTCGAATATGACAAGGCACAAAAATAGCGATTCAAGACAAAATCTTAATGACTTTTTTCTAGCTACATTTCGTATATTTCTATATTAGGAGAATTCACACTAAATTTAATGCTGCACTATTATATACAATATTTATGTTAACCTTCCTATTTTCTCATATGCATTACACTGACGGCACGTTTGAGTCCGGTCACGTGGTTTTTATGTCGTTTTTTTGACTGTTCATCTGATATAAGACTGCTGGACGATACTGATCGCGGGAGACGACGTCGCTTCGGTTGAGGGAGTGTATTTTCCTTGGAGTGACACCTTTGGAAAGAAGAATGAAAAGTTATATACTTGTAGAGATATGTGACAAAACAAAATCCGAAAATAAACATTAGAGAATTACACCAGTACCAATCTGTATACAGCTTTGTTATAGAATTATTCAGCTATCATTTAACAGACGTTAATTACCAGGAAGGGGAATTGTCCCCCATTGTCTTGCATATCACAATGTTTTTTTTTGAGTTTGTTTTGTTCCATTAAGCTGAGTTTAATATTGAATGTCCTCAATAAATGGCAGGCACTTTTAATTGTTTACGAAACACAGTTTTGCCATGATTTTTATTGAGGCACTTAATAAGAATGGCAGTTATACAGAAATGGAAAAGTATCTGAACCTGAAAAGCTAGTTCCCAGGATTTCGGATAAAGACCTACCTAAAATGATCATGTTTTGTGATTGGCTTTCAGAAACAAAAATTATCATTGTTTGTGACTCGTTCTTTAGAAAGATGATTTCTATAGTTCTATTGTCTTTCATTGTTATAATCAACCAATCACGAGCCTGGATAGTATAGGTATAGATGATGACCCAGAATTTTTTAGGATCTACATTTTTGCAGAAACTTTTATAGACATTTTTTTATGTTTGATCGCTAATTCCAGGCCTTAAAATATCTTTTACAGGGCCGTCTAACAAAATGTCCGATGACTTTGAGTTTGGGTCGGACATATGTCCGATGACCTTCAGTTCAGTTTGTCTCGGAAATAAGTCTGAATGACGCAAATTCATATCAGCATAATGTATTCATTCTGAACTAAATGTTGTAAAGATATTAAATAATTTGTGTCATTCATACTTATTTCCAAGCCAAAATTAACTTGCTTGCCAATGATAGCAGTACGACTTTTAAGTTACCGAAGTTGTAAAAGCCCGTTTCCACCTCACCATTCCACTCGTCACCCCGCAACATTATCGGTTCTGGGTCGAACACCAATTCACTCAGATCGGACAAACAATAAACTTCAGTCTCACTTAGGTCGGACAGAATGTCCGGTGGTTTCCTCCCTACGTCGGACAATTTGATGAATGGGTCGGACAATGTCCGTGACCGACCGATATTTTAAGGCCTGCTAATTCTGAAAAATAGACTGATTGAATATCTAAATTATTAAATACCTTATTATTGGAATGATTGAATAATGAATACCTAATTAATCTTCTAACTTGACACCTAAATTACAGCGGAACAGTTTGCAAAATGTTTGCTCAAGTGCACTTACAGTAGTAATGGCAAAAGTTCAAGTTTAATGAAAAAAGGTCATCAAGTTTAGATTAGTGTCAGATTAAGATTAGATTATGGTCAGATTAAGATTAGATTAGGATTAGAGTTTCCCCTATATAGATGATTATAATTTATTTGAATGTGCACTTTTGTCCATTGATGCTATTCACCTATTTATCCCGGAGACTGTACTGGGAATATGCACATCAATGACGCAATAACTTGAAATACGATATCGAGAATATTTGGGAGTGATAACTTGAAAATGATGCAATAAAAGTGGGGCAAAATTTGGTTTCATGAAATTACTTTAGTAGGGAATCTCTAACAACTGAAATTGAAACAATGAAAATATAAAAATCATCAAAAGTCATGAATGTTTCTGAGAAAGCGTTTGTTTCTGATCACAGGCTTTCTGGCATCCTTGTGTAGAAAATTAGGACAAAAGTAGGACTAGAATTTTAGGAAAAGTAGGAATAAAGTAGGAAAATGTGCAGAAAAGTAGGACAAAAGTGGGAGTTTTTGGAGATATAAATAACACAAAAATATACAAAGTTGTGTCAATTTTTGGTGCTCCATATTTTTATGTACTCATTTATCTATGCAGGATTTTTTCTCTCAAAACTTTTAAATAGCATCGGTATAAAAGCTAAGGCATCTGCTCTGCAGCAACACAATTCAAATGCATGTATTGGGCTACACAATGCACCAATCCATACTGCGGCAGGAACATATATCAGAGCCGTAGGAAGCTCTTTTCGATTGGAGAGGGGGGCTGAAAGCAAGGGCCGAAGGCCCGAGGAAATTTTTAAATTTAGAGTCTCTGAAATGTCATTTCCTGGACTTTGGGGAAGATTTGACAGAATTCTAATGGTCAGAAAACAGCGTCTTAGTATGTCGAAATTTACAATTTAGTAGTACTGAATGGGCGAAGGCGTATTTAATTAACTATATATTGGATAAGTTGCAGGAAAGTATGGATAATATCTTCATTCTTTGCAGTTTGTCATGGATTAAATGATAAAGGTCTGCATGATTTTGAAAAAAATGATTATTAGCAAATTATTGCCCCGGTTGCTACGGCCCTGTATATATGATGCTTTGATTGTGAGGGAGGGGAGTTGAATATTTGGAATATCTAGATCTTCGGAAATGACACTTTCAGAATCTTCATTAATTTATTGATTATGATTCTAGAGATGCTATGAAATTTTATACTCGGAAAATGTACTTCTTCTCCTCCTGAGATCTTATCATCTGGGTCACAAATAGGAAATAAAAATTAGTCCTATAGATCTAATTACGAGAGCTATAACATACTGATTCCCCCAAGTGGTCTTAAAAATGTAGGATTTTATGAGAAAAAGTAGGAAAATCAAGCAATTTTTAATAAAAAATAGGAAAAGTAGGAAAGTTGAAGAAAAGTAGGAAAAAGTAGGAAAAGTAGGATCGCAAGAAAGCCTGGATTCAGAGATTGCGATGCCTAAACGAAGTTCGGTATTGCTTTATATTCCTTGCGTGAGTTTGTTCGTCTGCTACTTTGTTCGAAGTCTTAAGTCTTGATATTTATTCAAAATAATATGCCTTCGCGTTTGTCGTGCACTTGTTTTTCGCATCCACGGCACCGCAATATAGTATTGTGTCTGGTTTTATTCATGTTCACCAGTGGACAGACAAGTTTGATACGATAACAATAACATAGTAACAAGGTACTAAATGGAATCGGAACACTGAGGAACCAGGACAGACAAATTTTTGGATAACTTTTATACCCAATTCACAAAGGTATAACTAAGAATTTAGAATTCTCCACATGAGTGAATAAATCTTTAATGCTTAGTTACCTTTGCTCTATTCCATGTTTCTGTAAACTAGAACAATAGTAACTAGGCATGTAAGTTATCTAAAGTTGTGAATTGGATAACAACGATGAAAACAACGTCACCCAAATTTGTCTATTGTGGATGGATCCGAGACCCATGCATTCTTAGTCACCACTTAATTCTGGCTGTAAAACAAACACTGCCTCGTATATATAACACCAACCTCTTAGGTAACATATCTTTTCCAGTGATCTTCTGAGCAGCAGATTTTGTTAATGAAGCATAACCAGGAATTCTTTTACCATTTTCATTTCCTATTTCAAGAATGATAACAAACGTTGGCTTTACTTATGATAGTCCATCCTTCCTTAGCCCGCGTGGCAGGTAGTCAGGCGGAAAGACCATCTGGTAAATATCTTCAGGTCAGTAATACTGCCCCCACATGTGGAAAAAGTATAGAAACCTGGGAACCTACTAGTTTCCACAAATATTTTAAGATTCACATTTTTGCAGAAATTTTCACAACACACTTTTTAAGTTTGATGGCTAAATCAAATGGGAAAATTAGACTGATTGAATATATAAAATATTAAATATATATCATTATTGAAATGATTGAACACCTAATTGATCTACCAAGTAAAGTCGATACCTAAATTACAGCGGAACAGTTCCATAAGAAATATTCATATTGTCTGCAGTAGGAAATTTGACTCTAATCCTGTAAGACTAACTACCATGATTACTGTAGGATTTATATTGTATGCCTTATCAGTTAAAGACATATTGCTTCACACGACAACACCATAACTCACATAAGACAATCACAAATAACAATTTTGTTATTCTTCCCTATTTATTGAAATATTTTGCAGAATATTCTAAGCCGTAAACCCAGGTAAACAAACATCGTAAGGTGGCACCCTACAGTTGTCCCTATTTGTCGACTTCTCTGCCCTATTAATGCAGATTGTGCATTATTTACTACTTGGAGGCAATATCTAACATCAGTGCATAAAATATTGGCAATGTCACTGTTGTTATGGCAACACGGCAAAGGTTTAGCCACAAAATTAACTTCATCTGAAACATGAAGTCGGTGACCTATCTTTTTTATTTCATATATATTAATAGAGCATGTGCGAGTTTTTTAAAAGCGAAAATTTTATTACAAGATTTGCACTGTAAAGATTTTCTTAAATTTGAAATATACAAAATTTACTAAAATTAAAATTTGTGGTCAAAATTTGAAGATAGGTTACCGATGAAAATAATTAGTGAAATGCAATTCAAGTTGTAAAAAACACTCGTGTAACTCGCGAAATTTCCCGCTGACTGGTGAAAGAGTGTACGCGGACGCAGAACGAGCTTTCATCTAGCAAAATCGAGTGGCAATGTTGTTTTTTACCGTTTTGATTTTGCCAATTTTTCGATTTATTTGAGTGCCATGTGACAGCCAAGGAATATTGTGAAGGATCAAATCGACGAAAACACAAAACCTCTAAGGTTGAAGCTAATTGAATTCTGCCGTTCACTAACAGGTGGACGAGTTTTTTGTGTTTAGTTTTGCCCTTTTGCTAAAAATGAACAAGGAGTTTTACTACGAAACTGTGATATTTTCAGTCTGTTTAATCACTTTAATCTTGTAGAAACACGAAAGTGTTTCTAAACGACTTTTTAAACGTTTATTAAAATTTTTAGTACAATTTAGCAAATGTTTTACAGTTGACAGTGCATGTTTTTAAAAAAAATTAAAAAACAGTGCTTCGTATAGTTAGTTTTTGGCCAAGTGATATTCGTATCATATAGTGTATGTAAAATTGTTGTATGAACTCGCAATTGATTTGGCACTCAAACCGAAGGATTATTCAACCCTTTTTTTATTATAAAACTTTCAGAAATAGCATTTAAAAAAAAAACAAAGCCTGGTCAATTTTTGTTTTGATCATGCGGTTGCGTGGGATAGTCCATGATATCTAGTAATGCCTTCATTCGTAACAAATTCACGAACAGTCAACGGGGGCAAATCCAATCGTATACAACATGATACAATACATAAAACGTAGATAAAATACAAAAATTAATGCTTACCAGACGTTGAATTTGCCTTCGTTTTTGAATTTCCGGTATCCAGATTGCCAGCAAATGAGTTATTGTTTTGAACACGAAGTGGTGGACCAACATTTTTATTTATAAGCGTCGGTGGTTTTAATTGAAAACGTTTGGCAACTGTTGATTTGGGTGCCTAAATACAGCCAAGAACAATGAAGAAAGTCATTAGTGGTATTAACACTTGTCCGACTGTCGAGGGCAATTGGGTTTCCTGGGAGAATCTGACGATGCCAATAACAACAAAACTTCGATTGGTTGTACTACTCTACTAACTTCTCGACTCTACTATAACGGCCATCGTTCGAAACGTCGAATTTCTCCTTGTATTTTTCAGACATTTACATCTCCACCAATTTTAATATTTTCACTACAGTGTTGTATAAAGTCGAGTTCATTGACTCGGACTCAATTCGCTATTTTCAGCAACTCAAATTGACTCAACGCCAAAACAGCTCTACTCGAGTAAACAGCCCCAAATTAATTCGACTCGGACTCGACTATTGATTTCTGTGGTAAACGACTCCTAGTAAAGTCACCTACAACTTGTTCAGGATGTTGATAATTTGATTTCTGAATCCAGCTGCGAGTTATGCTATAGTTGTATACATTTGACAGTACGGCAGATATGATAAAATATCTCATTATCTTACGTGGTTGTAATTAATATTAAGTAGAACTGTCACATTGGTACAACCCATAGTTGCCTAGTAGATATTGATCTCAAATGATTAAGATGACTTTGATTAATTACTAATTCCACAGATTCCACAGCAAGAGAGCAAACCAATTGATTACATAAAGTGTGGGCTTGATCATGTTCCCTGTGAGTTCAGGTATTTAATCGACTGGAGACATTGACTCGATTCTACTCGACTAGCTTGACCAGACCCTGAAATGACTCGACTCGTGCCATGCTTGGGGTAACTTGTTGCAACACTGATAACATGCACTATAGTTATAGACTTTTACAGAGCATAAATTTAGGTCTTGAATTATTAATTAAAGTATGTTGTCTTTATATGTATATAGTTGCTTTTACACCTAACCTGTTTGAACAGTGACAAAAAACTATTTATAACCAGTCATGGATGAGGTTTTTGTGATATCCAGAATTAGTATTTTTGCACAAGTGAATATAGCAAATCCTACAAGTTGATTGGTCAAATTCGACGTGTTAAGCTGTTATATTCACCAACATGTAAATATAACAAAACCAAAATTTGCAAAATAACGGCTAGCCGTTTTGTCAGGAAGTTACTTATAAATAAATAAGCGAAATTAAAATAAATTCAGTCCCAAAAAAGACTTGTGTAAAAGTACTAAAACAATTATCCGCCGAAGGCAAGGTGATTATCGGGGATTAGTATAAGTTTTGCATATCAAATGAGCTTTCACACGTTCTGATTGGCTAGTTGACGCATTATTTACCACCTGAATAGTAAATAATGCTTTTCAAAAAGAATGATTCGGCAAACTTGGTTTCAAAATCGACGAAATATTGGTAAAAAATCGTCCCCAGAAAACGAAAAAAGCACAAATTGTTGTGTTTAACTTGAAAGGTAGGATTTCTTTATTTTACTGTGCCAAACATATTCATGTACAATTTAAAACTTATTTAAAACTCCGAAACATTCACTTCAAACAAATAATAAAATAGCAGAAACTATCCCGACTGTTGGGAAAAACCTTGCTGTCATATTCTTTTAAATTCATTTTGTTTTGTATCCTATAGATTTCTCAATTTGTACGATACTATTTCTTTTGATATGTCATGTTTTCATTGTGCTGTATGATGTTCTGACCGCTGTATTGTGTTTTCGAAACTTGTAAAGTGAAAAGTGTTATTAAAACTTTATTTCGAACGATATAGTTTTACATTTCATTTTACAAATTTCTCAGCCATTTCCTGAAAATATTAATGCTAAAAAGACTATTTTTTAAGTCTGGTGAAAAAGTCCTTCCGTTATTGTGTTTATATTCTAAGCAGAAATCGAGAAAAACAACTTTGTAATAAAGCAATAAAGTCACACAAGAATCTATTTTGAAAGCGTGTGCGTACAAGAAACACTGCAACACTATTAGGGAACAGGCCGAAAACAGTTTTATTTCTGAATTTTAGTTGAATTATTATTTGGATATTTTGTTTTAATCATTAAAAATTTATACTAAAACAATTATTCGCCTCAGGCTCAGTGATTACAGTGAATATTCACATCGACTTCGTCTCAGTGAATATTCACCGGTCATCACTTCGCCTTCGGCGAATAATTGTTAAATATTCATCTCGACTTCGTCTCGGTGAATATTCCCCAATAATCACCTTGCCTTCGGCGAATAATTGTTAATGATCAAAGTCGAAGCCCAGACAGATAACACTTTTCGAGATCTTGATAATTCTGGATATCACAAAGGTTGAATTCAATAGCTGTTTTATTATACATTCAGCATTTTATTTAACTCTTTGGACAAACAATGATTTGTCGCACAAAGCAACGTTTGGTTTTCAAAAAACGCAGTTTAAACGATTTAAAATATCGCAATAACAGCATAAAATTATTAGAAATCTCATTTACCTCTTACACTGTGAGTTCCGATAAAAATGTCGAAAATGTCTGCTTTTTCCACAGAAATTTCCACGAAAATACCGTTCGTTCATGTTGTTTTCTCATGTTTTTATTCGTGTATTTAAAACTGCCGCTTGCTATTTAATTAATATATACCGCGGGCTCAACTTATACATAACTTAGTTATCTGCTGGGAAATACTGTAACTGTGTTATTTGTAAGTTGCGTGATTTCCATATTCACAGTAGCTGTAAGCTATTGGCCAATCACAAGACAAGTAGTCACTGCGATGTACAGTGTAATCTTTTTAATCGTTATGAACTAAATTTAGTCTATGTCTTATACTGTATTTAAGGCCCGGTTTAGATGGCGAACTTCTCATGCGCCGAATCTAATTGTCGTAGATACGGCAAAATATCGGAAACTGATTTAGACGTCGAACTTAATTGCACCGTACCAAATTGCGAAGACATTATATTGGAAATATTTACAATGCAAATATATGATAATCATATTATGATGTTAAAAAATAATTATGCATTAGGTTCGGCGCATGAAAAGCACGGCGTCTAAATCAATGTCGAACCTGTGTCGCATATACGACTTGTCCTGTCGCATCTTCGAGTCGTGTCGAACTTAATCAAAACCTGCCGAACTTAATTGATTTAATAGACGCCGCTCCAACGTCGCACTTAATCCTTGCATTAGATTCGGCGCATGAAAAGTTCGCCGTCTAAACCGGGCCTAACATTATATTATATTAAAATAATCTTACCACAAACGAAGAATCATTTTGTACGTTGGATGTAGTTTCCACTGTCGGTTTATGGCTCGCACTTGTCAATCCATAAGAGGGTGTTGCTGAAGGAACTTTAAATTCAAAATTCGTCGACGTAATATCACTAGAAACCGTATTTGATAGTGCATCTTGAGTCAATGCATTCAGTAGATTCTGTCTGACAGAACAGGGTGACTTAGCGTGTTTAACAGCTCGATCTGGGCCAATATTGTAAGTTTCAGGAGCAATTTTGGCAGGCGAGATTTTGCTCTCTACTGGAGCTGGTAATGCTGAACTCAGTGTCAATGTCGGAGACTTAGTGCTGACTCTTCTTGGTGTCAAATTAATGTCATAGCTGGTAATTTTGGGCCTCAATGGAGTTCTACTCGGCGTCGCTGTAAGAGAAATTAAAATTTGAAAGCGAACGCTCTGTATAATGCACTTTTTTAAGAACTTTATTCGTTGCATACCTGTCAAGAGTTTGGGAATCTCACTTGATAGAACTACATTTCAAGTGTACATTTTATACATTTTTACACCTTACGAGGAGCAGCTGCGAAAAATACAACTGAAAAGGAATCTGTAGCTCAGTTGGTTAGAGCACTGCACCGGACTTGCAGATTCCTGTCAGAGGGCCTATGGTTATGCTCGCATTTTCCGCATCTGCTCCTGGTCATGTCTAAAATGTATAAATTTACAGTCGAAATTTCCATTTACAAAATCATTTCAAAGTTCAACACGCTTTATCGAGTGAGTGTCCACAATCCTCATATTTACCCATATACCTCACATTGGCAGCACCTTAATATAATCACATAAACTTGCGATTAAACCTCGACAACTGTACTCTGTAGTAGCTCAGTTGGTTAGAGCACTGCACCAGAATCGCAGGTTCATTTCCTGCAGTTAGTTAGGTCTGAAAATTTACTTTGTATAAATCTGATAAATATTTGGTTTTTTGAGTTTTGATTTCTCCTCCCCCATAGAGAAAACGTCGGATAGGACATTTTTTCAAAAGGAATTTCCTTTGAAGTACTCCTAAAGTCGTGTTTTCATCGTGCTTTGCGTGGCCAGCCAGCCTACCCAGTCATTTAAACAAATACGAAATTTGTCATGACCAATCGATAACAAAGAGCATGATTACCTATGGTGGTCTTCGTTGCTGATAAATTATTCTCAGCATTCTTTATGACATCAAGAGGTTCAACTTCCTTATCAGTTGACGTCATAGTCTGGTCGGCCCAGGCTACCTCGCGGTTATCTTCAACAATACTAACAATGTTTTCGTAATTTTCGTTCATTTCAGTCGTGTTCATACCAGACGACTTGAGAACAACATGTTGTTTTCGCACACATTTCAACAATGAATTTAGTAGACTAAACAAAAGGAAGAAAAACAAACCAATTGTCAATGTTTTTAGGCCAAAAAGATAAATCACATTATTAGTATATGTGATACTGCAGGGGCGGATCCAGCCACAAATCAGACCGTAGCATATTCAAAAACTAAAGACATGTCCCCCCCCGAAAATTTTTGAAATTTGAAGCCCGGAAATGCCATTTCCTGCGTTCTGAGCACTGTAGTCATATAATTCGGAGCTTCAATTCGTATCCAATACTTTGTCACTAGAGTAGAGATCTGTACTATTAGAGGGACTCTACCTAGTTCACCCATATACTGCTAGATTTGTACTTTTTGAGTGAACTGCGAGTATACGTTTAAACAATTTCAACTGTAATGATTCCATTTTATTTACCACACTGAAAAAGTTCTTTTGGAAAAGTTCAAACGAAGAAATTTTACCCAATAAACATACACCCCAGATTTCACAACCATATAATACTGACTGGAACCTGGATTTAATCGACTTTCTAAGTTGCTCGATATTAATAGACATATTAGAGTTTACATTGCTGAAATTCAATGTTGTTTACGACTGTTTTGCACGCCGAAAAGTGTTTTTTTATTTGTCGTGTATTTTCGTACTCTTGTGACAAGGAAACTAAAATTGATCCCGTTTTCTCTTGTTTAAGTGCTTTAATTATTCTATATTCCTATACTTATTTCTTCACTTAAAAGTCTTGTTGTTCTAGTTCAGTTTTTGTACTTTAAAATGTGTCTTTTGGTCAGAAATAGAAGCATGCAGTATCAAAGTGGTCAACAATGCTGCAGCCCTGTTATTTTGTTATGGCGATGAAAGTACTTGCCAAAAATCAACGCGTCCAAAACTCAGCGAAATATAAGAACACAAATTTATCAATCAAAATAATATTCAGCTACAAATATTGAATAATAATAGGATGGCTTTTGTGGTGCATACTCAGCCTAGACCTAGGCCTTCTATTTCTATTTAATATATTTTTAATATTCAGCGCTTTTTCACATGAAAAGGCTGGGACTAGGTGATTTGGGGGCGGGGCGGAGGAAGGACGGAAGCGAAAAAATAGAAGGCCTAGTGGATTTCCCAACAACAAGGCCAAAACTGCCCTGAAACTGACCTGGTTGCGAAATGCCCATTTATTGCGTTCTCAAACAGAATTATTTGCAACTTAACAGCGAATTTAAACCGATACAGGTAAAATAAACTCATTTATAGTATAAACTTACTATTTTTATTTGTATACACGTCTAGAAAATCGGGTTTTTTATCATAAAGTTCGAAGCAACACTATTATTTATGTTGACAAGGTGTAGCGAAAGCACAAAATGAGTCAAAATATATACCAAAAGTAGAATCTTTCATTTGTCTTATACACAACTACATTAATATATATTTTCTCAATTTTGGCAAGCAGTCTTGTGTTTGTAAAATATACAAACACATATACAATTATAATTTATTAAATAAAACGGATACATATATTATTAGCCCGTACAGTATTGTATAAAACGTACATTGTTTACAAATGGTATATCCGTAATACTTGAACAATAATTTCAAAATCCTCATTCCCGATTCGCAAATATAGTTATTCAAAGCAAAACAGTAGATTGTCTTGCGAATAAAAGAATTATTTCGAATATAAATCAGTGCATGTACAAAATTGTTGGAACTTTAAAGGCCTTTAAAGAT